CAGCTGATCCTTCAAACGCCTCCAAATCCTAAGTGAGGAACATTTAGTTGAGCAGCTATTACCCTTGTACTTAATCCAGGGACTTCTTCAATGTTTTCTAAAATATTTTCATCAGTTGCATCTTTTATTGGACGACCACTGTTGCCAGCAACTTGCGTTTAAAATGTATCCGTTTCCCGTAAACGACGATCATCAATGGTCAGAAATAATCGTCTATCGGGTATATTTCGATTGGGGTATTTTACTGCATAACACCTTGCGGATGCTGCACTATTTCCTTGACATGTACCTACGATATTCCCTATAGTTTATTGAAATCATAATTTAATCTGATCTAACTTACTAAGGTTAAATGCATATCTGCCATTTCCTGAAATGTGTAGGCCATTGTAATATCAAAATTTTTAATCTTATTCACACAATAAATGAAAGCTTCAAATTATTAACTTATTGATGAAACTGTTTGTATATAGTTATTGTATCCGTAGAAATTAATTGTAATTTTATGGCCAACTAGGAAAACAAAAAGTTTTCCGTAAAAGTGATGAGGAATTTTGGGGGGATTTACAGCTGCACACCCCCCTTAAAATTTTTCTGTGCGCTTATATTTTGTTGTTTCTTTTCTATGAAAAATGCTTTCAGAACAAGAAAGTAACGTGTCCATTTTTATTACAAAATGTCAAGTAGTTTAGGAGATAATACAAAAAAACAATTTTTATTTTGTAACTTCAAAGGGCTGTAACTTTTTTTGCGTACACTTTTGATCTAAGGTAAGTTGGATTCAATCAATTTGAATTTTGAATTTTGAAATTTGTTCTTCTTTTTGGAACTGAAAATAACTTTCACCCAATCGTCTGGCAAAAAAACGTCTTTAAAATATCGTTTTTGTTTTTCGATCACTCCAAAGTCTCTTAAATTACTATTAAACTGGGAATAAGCCACAATTAAAGATAAAAATACGTTTATTGACGTTTCAATTTCCACTTCGGAAATCGTTTTCAAAATACAAAAAAATTTTGTATTTTGAGAACGATTTCTGAAGTGGAAATTGAAACGTCAATAAACGTATTTTTATCTTTAATTGTGGCTTATTCCCAGTTTTATAGTAATTAATTTACAATGCCACAAGAAAATAGCTTCAGAACAACTCCAAAGTCTCCGTCACATGGCAAATAGGAGTGACCGGAAACTAGAAACTTGTGATTTATGACTGTGGGACTGAAAGTATTGGAGACACTCATGTATGTACAAATAGATGCCAGTTTAATATTTCAATTCTGACCTCTGCATTGGTCGCTGTACAAGATCAAAACTGGTGTGTTAACATATCGACTGGTCCAACGAAGACTGTAGTAACTCAAATTTTCCACTTTTTGAGTTACGAGCGCAAAACAATAAAACATAATGATATCTTCCCCAGGAAAGAATCGTATCTCATTAAACGTAGTTATGCAACCAATATTACGTGTAAGAGTTTTATAGTATCTCCGATTTATGAAAAACAACCGTAGAAAATCATCGTATCTTGAGTTACAATAGTCTTCGTTGTTATCTGAGGCGATAGCATAGGTATCGTAACATGAGTTACTACGGTATTCTGCGTTAGTTTAAGGTTATGTTCAAAAGTTTAGTTTTGTTATAATTGCCATAATGTGTTCCAGAAGTGAGTTAATATTGGAATTAGCTGAGAAAGCGTATAAAAACACTGAAACGGATATTTCTTATCGTTCTTTTGAAGGTAAATTTATAATAAACTTTATTTAAAATAATAACAGCAAAGTAAAAACCTACTTATTTTTTAAGGTAAACATATTGCTGAAAGTATTGTAGAAGAAAGCAAATACAAAAAGGCGAATGAGGATCCTGGTGACCACGAGACTGATATTAATCCTGAATGTTCTACAGGTTGGTTTAAATTCCGCATGAAAAAATATTACGTAGGCATTTACCTCATTTTTGTTTAATTTTAGTAAGCTTAGAAGAGAATGAAGCCAATAGGAATGAAAATGAAATAATTGAGAAGGAAAGCGATGAGCAACCATTTCATGCAGACTCTGATACTGACCCAGATTACATTCCGACAGAAGACAAAAACATCCCTGAAGTAATAATTGAACCTAATAAGAATATAACTGAAGCAACCACAAATAGAAAGAGAAGAAGCAGAGGCAATATAGAGAGAGTAAGTAGGAAAATAATTAGAGACGTTAGTAAGTGGGCGGATGAAAAATCTAAAACAAGTCTAAACCTGGGACTTGAACATGAAAATCGAAAAGGTATTCAAATTAAAGGAAGACAGATGGGTGCACCATGCGCAAACACATGTAGACTAAAATGTGCTACCAAAATAGCTAAAGAAGATAGAGACCTTTTTTTCAATGAATTTTGGAAGTTAAAAGATCATACGAGAAAGTGGGATTTTATTGCTCGTCATGTGAGACAGGTTGCCAAAAAACAAGTAACTATTACTGCAGAACAACGGTCTCGAAGAAATTACTCTCGAGAATATTACTTCTACATTCGCAATGAAAAACAACGTGTTTGCAAAACTATGTTTTTGGAAACCCTTAACGTTTCAGAAACTTGGATCACTACAGCATTAAGGAAACTGAAAGATGGTGGATCATTAGAGGAAGATAAACGTGGAAAGCACACTAACAGACCACATAAACTATCACCAGAACTTATAGACAACGTAAAAAATCACATAAATCAGTTTCCTGTAGTACCTTCCCATTATACCCGTAAGAATACGATGAAGATGTACCTTGAAGAAGGGCTAACTATCCAGAAAATGTACCGATTGTACAACGAGCATTGCGAAAAAAATAACATCACTACAGCTGCCACGTCACGCCAGTATAGAGATATTTTCAATGAACAGTTCAATATTGGGTTCTTTAAACCAAAAAAGGACCAGTGTACTGTTTGTTTTGTTTTTAATATGGCTAGTGATGCTGAAAAAGCAAAATTGCTCGAACAATATGAGTCCCATATGAAAAACAAAGAAGTTATCAGAAACTTAAAAGACATAGACAAACAGCTTGCACTAGATGATAAGAGCTTGTGTGTGGCTTGCTTTGACCTTCAAAAGGTTTTAGCTACCCCTTTGTCTAACGTAAGTGATTTTTACTACAAAAACATAATACTCTACATATAACTTTACAGTTTATGATGTTGGAAATAATCAGGGTTACTGCTATGTATGGCACGAGCAGGTGGCTAAAAGAGGTCCTAATGAAATTGCCAGTTGCCTCTGGAAATTTTTAGATCTCAAGGCGCAACAAAGTGTTAAAACGATAATATTCTACTCAGACAACTGTGGTAGACAAAATAGGAATCGTTTTGTGTTTTCGATGTTTACTTTTGCTGCTGCTCATTGTCATATTGATATTGTTCACAGATTTCTGGAAAAAGGCCACACTCAGAACGAGGGTGACCAGAACAGTGGGTTACATTAATTAGAATGGCTAAAACTACAGGAAGAGTTTATGATGTTACGGAAATGTCCCAAGATAATTTTTTTAATTTTAAAAAACTGACTTATACCGAGAATTGGAAACTTGACAACGAAAAGAAATCAATAAAAGTTAGCAAAATACGAGAAATAAAATTTTCGCATGAACACCAAAATTCTATAATGTTTAAATACGAATTCGATGATGGTTTTAGAGGTTGTGACATAAAATAAATCGAAAATGCAGAGGACGGCCTTCCACTACTATCAAATTTCCACCGAAACTGTATGATGCACCATTACCAATTGAAGAAAAAAAGCTAAAAGGATTACTGTGGCTGTGTAATACCGGCAAAATACCCACAATGTACCATGGATTTTATAAAAATCTTAATTCAAAGAGTTATGTACCTCCTAAAGTCGAGCTCGAAGTTGATTCAGTTGAGAGCGAAGAAGAGTCGGATGTCCATCGAAAACTATAGTAACTCATTCAAAAGTCACTTATGACCATTTCTGTCTTAAATCTGTTTTACCCTTGTAAGATCATTATTAAAAGTATCACTTAATGGTATAAAAACATCCATTTAATAGATTAATGAATTTTGGTAACAGTGTAAATAGATTTTTATAATTATCTCAATTACATAAAAAATGAGTTACTACAGTCTTCGTTGGACCAGTCGATATGTTTTTACGTAGTGTAAAATACAAGAACCAATTTCTTGTGGGCCACGTGAGGCTATGTCTTCATGCCATACATACATGTATATCTGTCCTGTCGTTAGATTGTGGATGCCAAAACAATACGTCCACAGCTGTCTCTTGTAATAAGCCACTCCCGTAGAAATACTAGGAGTAGCTAAAGTTTTCATCAAATCAAATGTAATTACTGTTGCGGTATCTTTATTCTTGGCTGCATCTTCCTTCATTCCACTTCGAGCTGCTTCTGCCTTCCGCAGGTATAACTCTTTCTCTGTTTCCATTCTGCTTTTTTCTACACCTACACAGCTTTTTATTTTCATGTTATAAGCGTCACATCATTGGCAAGTGTCAGTGAGAGGTTAACGGAAATGAAGATTAAAATCTTCATTAAATATTTTCGAAAAGATGAATTGAGATACCTTTACTTCTGGTTCTTCGCCTTGCACATACAAATCATAAAGTTTTGAGATATTTAAATCAGATGACAGATACTCTCGATTAGGATTTTTGTTGCGGCTATAGTGTGATGAATATTTTGCAAATTTGTTAATGAAATCTTTTATATTTTGAATATCGGTTTCCCTTGTCTTTTTCTTAGGGTGGTGCTTGCCTCTTTTATCTAGTGGCGGAGTGATTAATTCGCCACCTATTGATTTGTTTATTAAAGCTCTGGTGAGCCTTCCATCTGAAACTTGTAGAGCTTTTTTGAAAAATGATTTACAAACAGTTTAATATCACCTGATTTTTTCGGTAATGTATAAATTCGTGTCTTAGAACGTTTATTATGGTTTTAAGCTGCTGTATGTCGACCTTTATTGAAAACATTTACTTGTATAATAATTTAAGCAGTATGTAAATTAAAATCAGATAAGATGTAGAAACTTTGGAAAATATTTTTTCTTTTTTCAAGAGATAACAACAAATGACACTTTCGTGGAGAACTGCAAACTCCATGAAAAAATTGTTTCTTAGACACAATTCTACCACGAGAATTCAAATCTGATTTTCCTGAATTTCTTTCCAACTCAGACTTAGATCTTTTCCAAACTGAATTATTTTTCTTACGTTTTTTACCCGTACTTGATCCAGGTTCCACAAGTCCATCTTCTGTGAAGTTTGAGTACTGGATGTATCCTACAACGGCATTTCCAAGCTATAACAAAAATATTCTCTATTAATTATTATTTCAAGTTATTAAATGTCTTAAAAAAAAACTTTCGAATAAAATCCTTTACAAATGTCTTTAAGTTAAAGACTATACCGGAATATATCTATACTTTTGGCAACATCGCTTAGAAAACCATAAACATATCATAGATATTATAAAAATATGTCTAAGTAGAAAACTAGCCTGCTTTCTTCATTTCATTGATTTAAATTTTGAGCCGAGATATTTACAATCACTATTAACCCTTAAACGGCTAGAGTTACCATATCGTAACGGTAGACAACCTCATTTTAGAAGTGGCAACACAGCTTTTGGTTCCATCGGAATGCGTTGGTTACTTGTCAACACGCTTTTAGTATGTGAATGAACACATTGTTGGGTACAACGTCAACGTAAAATCTTTTTGGCAGTTTTATTCAAATTTTAAAAATTGTGGTAACAGTTACGAGCTTCCAAAGATGGACATCCGTCTAGAGTAAGTATTACTAAAACTTCTTTTTTTGAATTGTTATGAAAAATACTTACAAAAGAGTATTTATAGATAGTTATTCTTCAGTTCTAGACCAAATTTTGTTATGAAAGTATTTCAAGTTCTATAATGTAACCTCAGAAATATTGGCGTTACCGTATGGTAACGCTAGCTGGTTTAGGGAGACAAAAAATATTGTACGTGTATAAATGTCTTGCGTGTTGAGTATGTGGTATATATGCGATCAGAAAAGCTAGGACTCTTGTTTATGTATTAATAATTGTCTAGTATATTCATTTGTTACTTTTAGGCGTGGGTTTACGCTGGAAGAAGCATTGCAAATGGTTCATGAAGAAGACCTGGACGTTCATGAAATATTCATCGAGCCTTCTGATGCGAATGTCCTTACCGATGAGGATTCTGGTGATGAAGATGGTGGCGGATTTCTAGATAATTTAAGCGGTCGACAGTTGACACCGGGAGCTGAAATCGTCCCTCCTCGTGCTGTCAGAGCTTTTATCGATGTACCTGAATCGGAGCCAGTGTCAAATATCGTCCGCCCTAGGTCAGAAAAAATATCCTGGATTGAAGGTGACTTTGAACGTGTGAGCAGGTATTTTCCTAAACCAGATTATAGTAAATATAGTGATATGGACTATTTAGATATATTCGAGATGTTTGTTGATAGCGAAATAATTGAACTACTTGTGACCGAATCAAGAAAATACGCACTTTTCTGCAATAAACCGGATCCAAACATTTCTAACGAAGAAATGAAATGTGTAATTGGGATTATGATTGTTACAGGATATAATGAGTTACCTGGAAGGGACTTTTACTGGGATTCCAAACAAGATATGAAAAATATTTTAGTCACTGAATCTATGAGAAGAGATCGGTTTCGCCAAATTTTAAAATATTTGCACTGCGCCGACAACACACAGCCTGTACATGGTGACAAAATGTGGAAGCTACGCCCACTGATGGGCCTTTTGAAACGCCGCTTTATTGACAACTGGATACCTGAACAGAACTTGAATTACGATGAGGCTATGATCAAATACTTTGGGAAGCATTCATGTAAACAGTTTATTCGGGGTAAGCCCATCAGATTTGGGTATAAAATGTGGTGCCTAAACTCTGCTTCTGGTTATTTGGTGAACTTTGATATATATCAAGGAAAAAACCCAAAGTCAAACACTAGTTACGAAAGCAATTTTGGAAAATGTGCTGCTCCTCTACTTTGCATGATAGATGAATTTTCGGATGATATAAAAAAGCTCCGTTCACATTTTACTTCGACAATCTCTTCACAAGCTTTAATTTGTTATATTCCTTGAAACAAAGAGGGTATGATGGTACGGGAACTATGAGGGAAAATAGAATTCCTACAAGTTGTGAGTTACCTAAAAAAAGTATTATTTCGAAATCGAAAAAAAGAGGAGACACGATATCTGTCATCGACAAAGAAGATGCAATAATATTAGTCAAGTGGATGGATAATAATGTAGTGACAGTAGCATCTACATGTCATGGCGTCAATCCAGTCACTCAAGTAAAACGCTACTCTCGAGCCGAAAAAAAAATTATTCAAGTACCACAACCTTATCTGATTTCTGAATATAATCGATTTATGGGAGGCACTGACTTCATGGACCAGCAGATATCCAGATACAGGATTTCAATTCGTAGAAAGAAGTGGTGGTGGTCAATTTTTACTTGGCTACTAGAAGCTGCTATAGTCAATGCTTGGTGTATATCCAAGAAGTGTAAACATCAAACACAGCTTACCCAACTAGAATTCAGACGAGAGATTGCTCAAGCCTATCTGATAAAATATGGCATGGCTTCAAAAGGTGCTGGAAGACCTGCGGCTGCTAAATCAAGTTTATCTTTTAATAGGGTTTCGGATAACTTGAGATATGACAGAACAGACCATTTTTTGATAAACATCCCCAATAATAAGAGGCGTCGATGTGCTGGAGAAGGTTGTAGCTCAAGTATTCGTACTATGTGTGTCAAATGTGATGTAGGATTATGTCTAGAGTGCAATATAATGTTTCACAGCCCAAAGTGATAATTTTCTTGTCCAAAAATTTTTTGTATACCCTAACCGGCTAGCGTTACCAAAACGTAACGACTATTTTTTTTTAAATTACATATATTTTGAGAAAAATACTTGTACCAATATGTTTAATAAAGTGTTTTGACCAATATTTATGAATTTTCCTTTCCTTTTTTGCAAAAAATAAATTTCGCCGTTGAAGGGTTAATATACACTAAAATACAATAATTTACTCATTGTTGCTCAAGATTGAGCAAACATAAACCGTATAAAAGACTGATAGTACTTTAAAGAACGAATTAACGCTAGACAAGACTGATACAAACACACAAGGCAAGAGTGACAATGTCTAAAATATCTTACTGAATACTGGCCAAACTGTCACTTGGGCCACGTTTCCATAACTAGATCATGTGAAGTGTTTATGTAGCCTAACTGTACAAGTCGCGCCATCTCTTGGTATACAACGAAATGTTAGTTGAGCCACTCTGAAATGAAAGATATGATAAAATGTCACCTATTGTACTACCTACCTAAATTATACAAAAAAATCAGTTGGGCCACTCTGCTTCTGAGCGACTCATTTATGACATACCTTTTTGAAACACCCTGTATAAATAAAATTGCTTGTGTCAGGGACACTCGCGATTGTTCTAGTTACTTTGGTAAGAGCGCCTATGGGAAGGTTACAGGAATATAAAATACGACAAATCTTTGTAACTTTTTGATTAATCAAATTTTTACCAAATTACTTTTTGAAAAACATTTTAAATATTATGTTTGTAGGACGGAAAAAGTCAGTACCTGTCGCCTCACCCCCCATGTCCCCCCGACACCAAAAGTCCGTATTCACGCCAGGTCAGCAACTGCCGAGATATCCAGAGATGCAGATAATAATTTAATGAGAGATCGGAGATGAGGCTGACGTCACGAGATGGCCTTGAAGTACAATACACACGTCCGCAGCCACCACACCACACCACAGCTGATCAGATTAAAATTTCACCTCACGATCACTGATCTTTACGGCCTACGCTGAACCATGAATACGAGCCACGATAGATAGACTCGGAAAATAAAAAGAAGAGTGTTATATATTGAACCTGTAAGAGGAGCCTAAAGAGTTATTTCTCGGTGATGGAGAGCAACTCGACTAGGGAATAATAAAAAGCTTTTAACGTTTCTTTTTTAGTTGAAATGGAGACTTGTAGTATCGAGTCAATAATCTTTTTAATAGGCGTTTTTGTTGCTTGATGTATCGATAACTTATAAAAACTAGAACTAGTTAAAAGAACACTGAAATATTTTCAATGCTATTCTAATACAGGTTCAATTGTATTTTTGTGTCAGTCGGAGAAAATTGATTTTATTATTCGAAATTATAAATTTTCCAAATAATTCACGTATATAACTAAGTATTTAAGTACTTGGAAGAGATGTGTAGAACTGTTAACTGAAAATTGATAAGAGAAATTGCTTGAAAGCTACTTTCATATTAGTACAGTATACAGTAGCATTTTAATTTTTTAGTAAATATAATGGGAATATCCCACATTCACAAGTAAAACGGGAAATAAATTTTACTTTTTAGCCTTTAGGTTTCAGTTTCTAGACATAAAGCCGTTCTTGTAATACATTTAGTTAAATAATAACCTAATACATAGTAATATTTTCTAGCTTCTCAATAAACAGTATACTGAGGCAATACATATAACTGATGACCGCGACCAGTGGAGAAATATTATCAATCAAACTGTCCGAGCTGCTGAAGCCCAGTTATGAACCACAACACATCTACTAAGATGTTAATGACTGTGATGATGATGATGACATAGTAATAATTTAGAAGAAAACATACAATAGACGTACAACTCACCTACGTCGTACACTAGTTCGCTCCTAAGATCAGATTTTAGTACCCTACAGAAATGATTCACAGGTAAATTCGCTCTTGCAATATATTTCTTAGAGAATAGAGTTTGAAAATACCTTTAGTAGGTACACGATAAATAATAATGAATACCCAGGGTCTATGAGCTCTGTGTTCAAGATTCATGGCCTCACCCTAGAAACAAAAATAAGGCTCCTTATAGTTACGTATAGTCAGTGCTTTTGTACGGAGTAGAAACATGGACATTAAAGGCGGAAACTCTGTGGTTATTGTTGCAAATCAAAAAGGAAAAAGATGATTGTTGCTAATGAGAAGGAGAAAAGCCAAGTGTTAATCTTTTAAATGGAAATTATATTTAATGAAGATAAAGTGTAGTGAATAAGAATACTTATGGTTAAATAAAATTGTTAAACAACAGGGAATATAACCAATACAAAAAAATATAAAGTTTACTTAAAGCACTACAATAGAATAGGCTTAGCTCAAGAGAATGAGAGTTGTGCTCAGAGAGGAGGTTGGCACATTTGCTTGCCTGTAGTAACTTAAGGTTAAATCAATCCTAAGATGATCTTGAGATGGGCGCCAGGGTGAATTTTAAATATCACTCTAATTTGGGATATATGTAGTTATATACTAACTGAAAAATAAAAGATTATAGGAAACAAATAAAAATCTGAAATGCTTTATACACTATATTATAATCTTAATGTACAACTATCTATACTATAGTACTATCTCAACCCTATACTTATACGTACTGAACAATTACTAAAATATATCCCCAAAATATAATTATATACAAAAAAATTGATCTGCACAGTCCTCTAACAATGAGGTAAAAAGGTATGTTAATACTGTTGAATAACTCACATAGAGTAAATAGCAATTAAAATATCACAAAAAAAAATAGAATAGTGATACCAGTTAGTAAAAAGCCAGTTTAAAAGTCTGAGACTAGTCAGTTAAGACATTAGAACAGTACTACTTCAATTTGATATGTGAAGGTACATACAAATTACCATAAAATTGGATAATATATCCTGACAACTTATTATAAGTGTTCTATAAAATATTAATAAATAAAGAAATGCAAAGTATATATGAAATAATAAAATTAAGACAAGTAAAAGGATTCAGCAAGGCGAGGGTACTACCAGAGATTGTGCACAAACCTGTTTCGTAACCCACTTAGGCTGAAGGCCTAAGTATCCGAGGATATATCTATATGTTATATAAAAATAATAACAGTTTTAAATTGTTATTAAATTTCACATTAATGTACTTAATAACCCTATGGGATGATTGCTGCGAAGGGTTTCCTTCATCAGCTGTCTGATGTCCAGGTAGAGGGTGGGCTCTGAGATGGCTCAGCCTACGTTTAGTGGTAGCAGCCTGGCAGACCAACCAGAAAATTGCAAATTAGATATCTTCTTTTCCCCAACTTAACGTCCAATTCTTCCCAAATCCCAAGTACTTCCAAAAAATTAAAAATTATTCTTTCCAAATCCAAAATAAAAAGTCCCAATGCTTCAAGTTGGAGCCGGCAGGCTACAAGAGAACAAAAAAAACCTTTTTATTCTATGTTCTTGTACTTAATATAGTTTTTGTTCTAGTAACAAAAACTAGAATATAGTTGTCATTAAGTGACCTTGGCCCAAATATTTAATATTACTACACTGGAATATTATATTATGTATATAAAAAAATAAGGGTATTTCTGCTAAGATGAGAAAGTTTAGATGATTTAGGACTTGTAAATTTAAATGTATATTGTGGTAATTCATCAGAATCTTTCTAAGGGTTTTCTTGCATAAAACAATGTAAATTTTAAAAATTGCACAAACTAAATAACTTCTTGACACAAACAAAAAACAACTCTTCACATTTCCCAAAAAATCAATAAAATAACTTAAATTTTCTTCTTTTAACTTATCAACTTTCCTTCTTGAACTTCTGTTTTAAAATGAACCGCATTCCCTTCATAGATAAGAAGGTTAGGTTCGTTCCGTTCCTCTTTAATGACAAGGGAATCGATTCTATTATCGCCTACATATCGATATATTAGACAGTATTATATTGCCTACTTTTACGGTGGCCAATTTTTAGCTATAGTAGGGATTCGGTTTCATTATGTGACTAAGATTTTGCTAACGTTCGAAGTGTTAGACTGTTAATGATCGTATCGTTACATTATACAGAAGGATCCTGAAGATACCTTGGACAGACAAAGTCACCTATGAAGAAATACTGCGGAGGATGAATCCAACTGCGGATTTGGTCAACATCGGAAGGGCCGTAAGCTGTAGTCCTTGAGACATATAATGAGAACTTAAGGCAAATACGAGCTACTCTAATGCATTTTGTAAAGTAAAATTGAAGGAAAAATGGCCCCAGGATGAAGAAGAATATCCTGGCTTGTTAACCTGAGAGCATGGTATAGAAAGACCTCAACACAGCTATTTCGTATAGCAACCAACAAAGTCATCATAGCCAGAATGATCGCCAACGTTCGGAACGGACAGGCACCCTAAGAAGAAGAAGCCAGGGTCAGTGTAAATGGAGAATGTTGTCTTCATAAGGCAAGTACTTTGATACATGTTATAAATAAAATTGTTATTAAATATTTCTAGAACTTCGTAGTTACCTAAATACAAAACTACTTCTTACTTAAAAGGTTATGACAATACATATTATCACTAAAGTATTATGATGTTAGAGCTCTGTTCCCTCATTTCTATCAATATTAGATTGGATTTTTCCATGTCAGAAATTGCAAGTAATATATTTCTTAGAAAATATTAGTAATTGGTATTCTCCCTGAAATTTTATGATAAGAAATAGGGGTGGTGCGTATGTTAATATTATTACTTTGGTTACTATTTGAATGTCTAGTCCATCATGGAGAAATTTAAAATTGTTAGTCTTGAAATGTTAAGCGAAAAAGGTAAGTCTATGCTAGTTATTGACAATCACAAGTATAACTTTCATAAAGTGCTTGCTAATATTATTAAATGTTGTCAGTATGTAGAAAGAAGTTGCAAACCATTTGCTAAAACTCTAAATATTTTGATGCTATCTTAACAAAAAACATAACTACTGCCAATTAAGAATACAAAGAAAGATCGCAAGTAAACTCTTATGGCTTAAGAGTATTGGCCAACAACTGTTGTTACTAAATTTACTAGAATACCTATTAAAATTAAATAAACTTACATAATTTTTAGGGACTAATATCGTAAAGCTCTATTTAAATAAGGTTTACTATACATTTTCTCATTATAATACTAAGAACTATTTACGATGTATGATACAAGAATACCTACCCTGCACAGATAAACACATAACAAACGACTATCAGAGATAATACATGATGATCTATTTAATTAACCCTGTAGATAAGACAGCCAACCGGTAATATAGAACATACTACATATCTCGAATGATTTAAGCTGCATCGAATCACTCATTTATCCGCTATGGCCGCATTTGATCGTAAGCCGCTGATTGAGTGCAGTTTATCCACTGACAGAAGATAATATTGAGATTCAGCATCGTGCACATGAGGATGAAGAGTGATAAATGCGCATGGACGGCGCGGTGGTGTGGAATCAAGTGTATATAAAAGGGTGAGATATTTAAAATTAAAATTCTTGGAGGTACATAATAGTCACTATGCAAACACTGCTAAAGTTAAATCGGTAGACGCATTTTAACAGGTATATTGGTTAAAATTGTTTTAACCCTTTCGAGTCAGATTTTTTTTCAGGATTGGTATGAAATTTAGAATTTTTTTCCAACTTTTTTTCAACATATATGTGAAAGGGACTAATAACCCATCGGACACCAAATTATTACTTTATTTTAGTAAAGAAAAATCGAAAGCACAAATAAAATCTCTTATTTGGCAACAAAAGGACTAAAACTAAGATCAATATTTATTGAAACTTAAAAGGCGTGAAACATGTTTTGCACAAGGGTACATTGTTTTCCAATGAAATAGTCCCTCAGCTACACTAATTAGAAAAGGTTAAAATGGTGTTTTTTCTTTTTTTTTTTAGATCATTGTGTAGTACATAAGAATTTCCAACAGCCATCGTCATAAAATGCAAAAATACTGTTTTCCACCATTTGGAAGACTTCTCATCAAGTCATATCAGCCCAAAATATGATCCAGGTCCACGCTACCCATTTTTTTATTGTACATGTCGAGAAATTCAGGACATCGCACAATAATTTTAGAGTCATTCTTAATTTTTCGTTTCACTTCTACTTGCTTATCTCCAAAGCAATTGCGTACTGCTAACAAGTCTTTAGTATCTTGCCATCTGCAAACTATGGTGCCATGAAACCGAAAAACTTCGTAAAAAAGTCCCATCGATATGAAACCAAAATCCTGGTTGCTACGTACCTTCGCCTTCTTCATCATTTTCGTCACTACTGCCTTTCACTTTCGCCACTTATCATCTGATTCTCTATGGCCATTTTATTGCCCTTGGAACCTGAATCTATTTTGTGACTATCTCGTTCTACTTCGCCTTCGCATTTAGTCTTTATCTTAGGAGCCACTAGTGACAACAGGATCGACTTCTGATTCTGTATCGCTGGCAAAAATGGCTGCTGCCTCCTCCTTTAGCTCTTTCTGCATCAATTTCTTTCTACTCATCTAGAACAAAACAAGACTATTGGTACACATATAACCTACCCCAAATGTCTCTTGTGACATATTTCACCCACAAAATAAAACAGTAGTTTTATTTAATATATTTACCCTTTTTGTAGGTTGCTCCACTCACAAAAACAAATTCGCAACAACAGTAACAGCGCACAACTTTTCTGTGGTAATCATCAACAAAACTACTTAAACACGGTTGGCAATGTTGCCACTTATACAAATTATTCTTTTAAAATTGTTATTAAGTTCTTAAAAATCGGTTACAATAAAAAATTCATGTAAAATGGTTTAGATTATTTAGTCCAATAGACTTGATGATTTCATGACAGGGATACGACTGGGAGACTCGAGAGGGTTAACCTTCGGATGACCGATGAGGGTTAATTTAAGTACATCTTTCCTTGTTCTTAATTGTTATTAGGTTGCCATTCTGACTTCTGCATTGTCTTGTGGTTGCCTTAAATTATTTTTTGATGATGCAGGATGCTTTAAAGCAAATCACGTCCCAAGTTTGGAGCTGTGGAGTAGAATAAACCCAGCGTTTTAAAGTTTTTTTTTCTTGCAACAATTTTCCGTAACAAAATAAAGTCTCTCCTTCGACTTCTTGGTTTGATGATCTCGCAACACGCCCAGAGAGACGTGCTTTGGATAAGTTAGCTGAAATATGAAAGATACATGACATTTGTGACTTAAACTGTAAAAAGTCTACATATTCTTCCAACTCTGATATTTATTCGACGAACAACTTATGCCTATTCGTGAAAGATGTCCATTCAATGGTAATTTTTGACCCCCTTTGATCATTCGTATAAGAAAAAAAAGTTAGTTATCGGATATTAAGTAAAACAAACTTACCTTAATATGAACAAAATAAAGTGTCTCAGATGTCATAGAATATACTGATTTACGCATTTTAAATTATGCAATGTTCGACCCAGACTTGCTTAAATTATCTTGAATACAATCCAAAATTTAAACAAATAAATTAGTATGTATTATTGCAATGCTGTCTTGATCGCCGTTGAGTTTAGTTATTCGATTATTCGACTTTCTCTCGTATTAAATTTTGCAAATAAACGTTTATAGCAACAACTCAATAATCTTATTATATTCAGATTACAAAGCTGGGGACGCCCTTGGGCCGAGATAGTGTCGGCAGAGTGCATTGGCATGCAGAAATTGCTGCTCGAAAAGGGTTTAGTCTGGTCGTAACTTGGGAGTAATGTTTTAAGAGGATTCTACAGCTAGAGATAGAGGGTAGTATGCTGGGGCGATTTAAAAGTAATCAAGGACGCTGCACGCTTGTCTACGACCCTCTCTACTTAGCGGAAGATCGTTCGCTCTATTTTCTGGTGCTCAACTTGACTGCAGATTGTAGTTATTAAGCAAACTACTGAGATCTCCGAAGTATATAGAAAAATAAACGGAATTCTCATTCAATTTCGTGGAAATATAGTTAATAGGATAATTTTGTGATACCAATTAATTGAAATGCATCAAATTTTTTATTCCATTGTTTACAAATATTTGATATTGCGAGTCTAATCAATCAATATGCATTCTCTTTTAATTAAATCTGTAATTAGCTTTGTCTTGGGGACGGGGTATTGAATAAAGAATATTTTTCGCAATGTTGTTGCAATGTGCATTTTAATTGATTTTCCTAGATTGGTATCTGTATAAATCTGATCAAAATATCGAATATCAATTTTTCTGAATGACATGAGAATTTAGAAAAACATTATTTAAATCTTCAATAGATTCATTACTGGAAGTGGGTAATAAATTACTATTTTGTGAATATGCTCTGTGAATACATCATGGTTGAGTTTTAACTTGTTTATTAACTCTGAAGGCACTATTATATATGAGGAGTCAGGGAGGGAAACAATCATAGTCCACTTTTGGTCAAAATTGAGATGACGAAGTTTTCTAGTAATGGATACATATTGCTTTCGCATGGTATAGAGTAAAAGGGGTAAACATTTACAGTCCTTTTATTACAAATTTTAAATGAAATAGTGAACTGGGGAAGAACCATCATAGTAAGCGCACCGCGAGGGAATAACCGTTAGGTTCCGAATGACCCCTCTCTGTCATTACCTGTCGGGTCACGTGCAGCATTTCTGAGATTCTCTTTCTGAATTTAGAGACTTCGTTGGTGTGTTCTAGTTTGCCAGTTGATTCTTCTTCTTCTTCTTGATGTGTCTATCCGTTTCAAATGTTGGCGATCATCATAGCAATATTTATCTTCTCTGCAGCAGCGCGAAAAACCTGCACAGATGTTGTATGAAACCAGATTCTGAGGTTCTTTGGCCAAGATGTTCTTCTTCTTCCTGGACCTCGTTTTCCAAATATTTTTCCTTGCAGGATGGCTTGAAGGAGAGCATATCTGAATTCATTTCGCATATTATGTCCGAAGAATTGTAACTTTCGAGATTTTGAGATTTCTCGGTTCTTATTCATTTTTCTGAGGACCTCCTCATTTAAGATTTGGCCACAAATCTCACAAACAGTAAAGCAAAAACTATTCAGCCCTACAAGGTACGATAGATTTCTTCTGAATGTGAAGATTCGGAACTATCTGATGAAGATAATGTTGAGCCGTTAGCTGCACAAATCCCCAGGGCTAGAGAAATCATTGACAGTCAAGAGGATTCTAATAATGAAGATGTTGATTTATCAACCAACGATTCTGGTACTGAACTACATAGGAAACAAAAATCTATCAAAAAATGTCATATTACATAGTATCCTTCAAAAACTGTGCGAAATGTAGAAGAACTGCATTTTGAAGATAGTGAATTACTTCCATTTAACATATTGTAGCTCAATTCTCCTTATAAATTGTGTAGTTTTTTTTTGACACCAGATTTGGTGGATGTGGATGTCTCTAATAAGACAACCTACTACAAGACGCTATTGGTACTTATGAGACATACAGTCCAGTGGTGTGACAATAAATTTGTCTTTACTGTCAGATTATTGTGGAACTCAACCAGCAGTCAAAGTGGAAAAATTCTTTCGCAGCGAAAGAACCAGGAAAGAAATTGATTGCCCAGACATTGTACAATAATATAACAATCACTTGAGTGATGTAGATCTGCAAGATTTCTTATTAGGATTATATCAAATCAAAATCAAAAGCAAACAATGGTACCACCGTAATTTCTTTCATATGCTGGATGTAACAATAGTCAATGCTTGGCTATTAGACAGGCGAATCAAAAAAACTAATTGGAAAAAAACTGAAGAGATTTTACCACTGCTGAATTTCAAAACAATTCTAGCTGAACAACTAATTAACAGTGGTGTTTTAAAAAAAGGAAAGTAGGTTAGCCTAGAAGTTCCACACCTGAACAACCATCCAAAAGACGATGCATTGAACCTGACAATACATCGATCGAATGTGTATCACAAATTGTTCTAGCAAAATTTTTTTATACATAATGTTCCCAAATAACATAATATATATATTTTTAACCTGATCGTTTTATAAAATGTGTAACGGTGAATCCTGCACACATCTATTAAGAGTAATTTAATATAATTTTGCTAAACAATTAAATAAAATAAATTCATGCAATAGAGGGTTAAAAAATAAGTTTACGTGAACAAAGTTCTTTGTCATAATAATGAAGGATAGCATTTGCCTGTTTATTTTTAGATGAACTAAAATGAGGACATATATTTATAGGGCACAGTAACTTATCTATATATTCCTTTTTTAGACCATTATTACTTGTTGCGTTTGATCCTTCTTTTTTTTTCAAAACCACTCTTGTCCGTACAACAAATAACTCGGTGACAGTGTTATATGATGAACACGTGTTGTAGCAAAGAATAAGAACGCCGCATGGTGGCTGGCATAAAGTGATTCATACAAAATATCCAAGTGATTTAATGTTAGTGAATTCTACTACGCAGTAGAAAACTTTTGTTTCTAATTGGTCGGTTATATTTATAACAGAGGCAACTATGTCAGCAGCCACTAAAGACCCTTTCATTATTGTTTGCTTGTATCAAAATTTCAGCGGACTGTGATCATATGAAAAATATAAGACAGATCCGGCTGATATGTATTTTAAAAATAAAGATGTTGAAAATCATATCGGGGAGATGAAAACAGGCCACAGGATCCCCAGATATAGGATCAATATACCTTTTGAAGTCGAGCAAATCACAAGAGAAGTTTGTAATAACTGGTACCATCATCATCATCACGTAGCGCTACAACCCTGGGTGGGTCTTGGCTGACTGTACAACTTTTTTCCAATTTGTTCGGTCTTCCATCAATCTAGGGTCAAATGGAATGTTCATTTTCCGGAGATCTGCTTGGATGTTATCTCTCCATCGCATTCTGGGACGTCCAAGTGATCTTTTACCTGTGGGAATGTCCTCCAGTACCAGTTTTACAAGTCTTTCGTTATGCAGTCTGTGCACGTGGTCTGCCCATCTTAGTCGCTGTGATTTAATTTCTTGGACAATATCGGCGTCGTTGTAGAGTGCTTTTAATTCGATATTGGTTCTGATCTTATACTGGTTTGTGGTGATGTATGTGAGTCCAAAAAGTTTTCGTTCAAGCGCTGAGCTTTTTTTCGATTGCTTTGGTCATGGTTCACGTTTCGCATCCGTATGTTATTACAGGTCTGACGATGGATTTATAGATTTTTATCTTTAAATTTCTTGTGAGATTTTTTGATTTTATGAGCTTTGGTCATCCGAATAAGTTGCTTTGGTATTGAGGGCGGACAAGGAAGGAGCCTCCACGAGATCAATAGTGCCACATCAAGTGCAAAAGAAACACTATTGACGGGGTCCCCTGGAAACGTCTACTAGTAGACGGCTAATCCTTCCAACACCGGACCAAACCAAATCCGATGGCAAAGATCAAGCCACAACGGTTCTTCTCAGAGCCAACACTGACAGTAGCGAGCATAAATATCGAGGGCATCACTACAGCCAAACAAGACATCTTATCAGAATTCTGCATGAACACGAAATGTGAGGTATTGTGCATCCAGGAAACCCACAGAGACCTAACTGCAGCGAGACCGAAAGTCTCTGGTATGAAACTGATTGCGGAGATACCACATAATAAGCATGGGAGCGCGGTATTTGTGAGAACTCAAACCATAGTCTCATCTGTGGAAACAACAAATGTACACGGTATAGAGATAATAACCACTGAGATCGGAAAATGCACAATAACCTCGGTATACAAGCCCCCAAACCAGCCTTTTATATTTTCACCCCCAACTAATTTTCAATCACAAGCCAATCAGCTTGTACTGGGAGACTTTAACAGTCACAGTTTACTTTGGGGCTATGCAGATTCGGACGCAAATGGAGACGCAGTAGAAGCATGGGCCGAAACGAGTGGCCTCACGTTAATCCATGATCCTAAACTTCCACCATCTTTTCATAGCAAAGTTTGGAAAAGAGGATATAACCCGGATATCTGTTTTTCAAGCAACAACCTCGAAGACCGATGTACCAAAGTAGTATATGGCCCCATACCAAAAACTCAGCATAGACCAATTGGTATAAATATCTTTCCAATTGTCAGACCACAAGCTATTCCATTCAGAAGGAGATTTAACTTCAAAAAGGCAAACTGGCAAAAGTATGCAGACATGCTAGATTTTGAACTACTACGCCTTGAACCAAAAGTAGAGAACTACGAAAAATTCGTAGAGGTACTCAAAAATGTGTCTAGAAAAACTATCCCTAGAGGATGTAGACAACAATACGTTCCCGGGATGTCCAGCGAGTCCAAAGAACTAATGAGAACATACGAAACCCTCTATTCCACTGACCCTTTTAGCCAAGAAACGGTTGACTGCGGAGCAGTACTACTCCAACAGCTAAGTCAAGCCAGACAGGAAAAGTGGATTGAGACCCTGGAAAAA